ATGATTGAATATAACGTGATCATCTTGAATTTTTGTCGTCTGAGATGACGGTTGAGTTGACGTAAGTGCAGGATAGGCCTCCAACCCCCGACTTCTTCTGGGTGAGGAAGTAACGAGAATAGAATCCTCTTCCCACAAAGCAAGTCGGTACCCTTTCCACCACTCCTAACGTGAACAAGCGAGAGACTTCCTGGTGAAGAAGAGTCTCGTGAGAGGGGTCCCTGAAAAGGGACGGGGAAGAGGGGGAGGGAGGGGAAAGAGAAGTGAAGGGAATGACATATCCTGAGGTGATTACGTCGTGAACCCACCGGTCCGTGGCTATGAAAGCCCAACGATGTTGATAGGGCCTGAGACGATGATGAAACACTCCTTGGGTGATGTTTGGAGTCTCTGCAAAGGGGTGGTCCACAGTCCCTTGATCAACATATCAAACCTGCTGCCGGCCCTGCTGCTGGGAGGACGCTTTGTTAGGCTGTTGACGACGCTTTTGGGGGCGCTGTCTCGGCCTCTGTTGTTCATATGGCTTGGTCTGAGGTGTCGCATAAGAAAAAGGCCTTTGCCTATTGTAGGGAACATATCTTCTACGCTTGTAGGGAGGCGTGTACATTCCAAGTGTATTTAAAGTTGTACGTGTATCCTTGCCCGAGATGGAAGACCTGATCGGTTGACTGGGCGAAGAGTGACTAGCGATCGAAAGGCCAACGATGTTGATAGGGCCTGAGACGATGATGAAACACTCCTTGGGTGATGTTTGGAGTCTCTGCAAAGGGGTGGTCCACAGTCCCTTGATCAACATATCAAACCTGCTGCCGGCCCTGCTGCTGGGAGGACGCTTTGTTAGGCTGTTGACGACGCTTTTGGGGGCGCTGTCTCGGCCTCTGTTGTTCATATGGCTTGGTCTGAGGTGTCGCATAAGAAAAAGGCCTTTGCCTATTGTAGGGAACATATCTTCTACGCTTGTAGGGAGGCATGTACATTGCAAGTGTATTTAAAGTTGTACGTGTATCCTTGCCCGAGAGGAAGACCTGATCGGTTGACTGGGCGAAGAGTGACTAGCGATCGAAAGGCCAATCTTCCACCTTGGCCTGCAACTCCTTCGGAACAGCGGCCTGGTGCAGCCAAGACGCTCGACTCATGACTATG